GGTCTGGCCCACTGGCTATTTTTCCAGCTTCATCCCTTGCTGCATCCCTTCCTCCCTCTGTTCCAGCCACAGAGGTATTTGCAGTTCAGGGAACTGACCTTGTTTTACATCTCATGCCCTTGAGTTTACTATTCACTGCTCCGTCTGCCTGGAGGGCCCTGTGCCCTCTTCTCTGCCTCTGAGATACTTACACATCTCGTGAGATTCAGCAGATGTGGCATGTCATCCAAGTGGCCTTTTCCAATGTCCACATTTTTTTTCTTCTTAATTCTCTTCCGTGGCAGAACTGTATGTTTTCCATATAGTTCTGTATTGTCTTGTCTGTCACCTTCCATCTCAATGGGCTCCAACCTCTGACTTTCTCATTTTGTCATTCATTCTCTCAGTCACCTGGCTAAGACCCAGGCATTATCTTGGTCCTCATTTGTTCACACCCACATTCCCAGCCCACCGGTTGTTTTTCTGTCACTTCTTCCTCTGAGGTGGTTCTTGATCATCTATTCTCCATTCCCGTTACCTCCTCCCTAGTTCAGGCCCTCATACCTAAGGTTTTCCATGAATGGTATTCAAAATTGTTTGTGGGATAGCCTCAGCTTGTTTACCTCTCAGTCTCATCATCTGTATATTCCTGGGTATATTATAATCCAGTCACACTGGAATCCTTAGTGATCTCTGAATAGGACTCATGACAATCATACTTTTGCACCTGCTGTTTCTAATCCCATCCTCCACCTACAAAATTACTAGTCCTTCTCCATGGATCAACTCCATTGCTTTCTCTTTCATGAAGCTTTCCCCAATTATTATTAGAAGTGACCTCTTTTCTCTGAACCCCTGAAATTTGTACCTACTTAATGGTTCTTACATATGTTGTTGGTTTGCATTTCACGATTACTTCATGTACAGAGATTCGATTATGAACTCTTTTAAGGCATGGGTTATAAATTATCCATTTTTGTATCACTTCTCCACTATAGAACCTAACACAACTTCATATATGTATATACATAGCTTCATTGAGATACTAGAGGCCCGATGCATGAAATTCGTGCAAGGGGCTCTGACCTTGCAGCCGCTGTGGCTTGCCTCGGCCCTTGCAGCCCCGGCTTCATCTGGAAGGTCATTTGGCTGTCTGGTCTAATTAGCATATTATGCTTTTATTATAGATAAGTTACATATTTGCCCATTTAAAGTATACAATTCAATGGTTTTAATAAAGAGTTGTGCAGCCTTCACCACAATCAATTTTAGAGCACTTTTTGCTGCTGTTGTTAATCCTCACCTGAGGATATTTTCCCATTGATTTTTAGAGAGAGTGGAAGGGAGGGGGAGCGACACAGAGAGAGAGAAACTTGGATGTGACAGAGACACACTGATTGATTGCCTCCAGTTTGAGCCTCGACTGGGGTGGGAATTAAATTTGCAACCTAGGTATGTGCCCTTCTGTCACAGGGCTGATGATCTAACCACTGAGAAACCGGCCAGGGCGTTAGAGCACTTTTATCAGCCCAAAAAAGAAACCTCGCACACATAAGCAGTCAATCCCCATTTCCCCCCAAACTCTCAGCCCTAGGCAAACATCAATCTAATTTCAGTTCCTGTAGATTTACCAATTCTAGACATTTCATAGCAACAGAAACATAACATTTGTCCTTTGGGTCTGGCTTATTTAATTTAGCTTATTTTCTAAGTTGATCCATGCTGCAGCATATAATGGCACTTTATTCCTTTTCATGGCTGAATATTATTCCATGCATGAGTGGATCACATTTTGTTTATCCATTCATCAGTTGATGAACATTTGGGTTTCTGCTTTTCAGCTATTATGAATGCTATGAATATTCAAGTACAAGTTCTCATGTGGACATATGTTTTCATTTCTTGTGTATCTACCTAAGAGTGGAATAGCTGGGTCATGTGTTAACTCAATGTTTAAAATTTTGAGAACTGCCAAGCTGTTTCTAAAGGTGGCTGCACCATTTTACATTCCCACCAGCAATGCATGAGGGTTCCAGTTTCTCCACACCAGGGGTCCTCAAACTTTTTAAACAGGGGGCAAGTTCACTGTCCCTCAGACCGTTGGAGGGCCAGACTATAGTTTAAAAAAAAAACTATGAACAAATTCCTATGCACACTGCACATATCTTATTTTGAAGTAAAAAAACAAAACGGGAACAAATACAACATTTGTATTTCCTTGTGGCCCGTGGGCTGTAGTTTGAGGACCCCTGCTCCACACCCTCGCCAACACTTGTTATTATCTGTCTTTTTTATTGTAGCCATCCTAGTGGATGTGAAGTAGCATTTCACTGTAGTTTTGATAAATATTAGATGTTTGATAAATATTTGTCAGATAAATTATATTTATATATAACATGAACAAACAGACCTTTCAACAGGTCATTTGACTTGCAAGTTTATTAACTAGCTAGAAAAGATTAGCACAGGGCCTATGATTATAATTCAATTTGTAAGTTTTTTTTATATTGTTTTCTCTCTTTTTTTAGTTGCTAGTGTTATCTATGTGACATTATAAAGGTGGTGATTCATCATGAAAATTCATGTAGCTTTGTAGGTTTGAATGTATTTTACAGAATAAGCTAAATTCCAACCAGAATTCCAACTTTTGATATTGTCCCTACTCAAACACCACCAATGAATGGGGAAACTAGGAAAGGCTAATTCCTGAATCCAAGACAGAGCAAATGAATAAAATAGCATTTCCCACATGGCCTTTCCTTTGCCTTCTCTTTGGAACACGTTACAGCTTGGAAGCTCCAGACACCAATTCTGTGGTGACTGTGTGAACTATTACTCTTGTTTAAAGACTTGCCTCCTCCTGGGCAGGCCTGTCTTCAAAAAAGCATTTGATAGTACACTTGGGTACATGGGCTGGGGGGAGGGGGAGACGTAAGAAAAATGCAAGTGCTAAAACTTCTTTGGGTAGAGTTTTCCTCAGTAAACAGTAGACCATGGGAAACATAACAGGTTCTGAAAACTTAATTTTGATGAATCTGGACGTTAGAGAAACAGCCAGCTGAATCAGTTCCCTCTCGGGCAGTGGCTTAGCCTTCTTATCTCAAGTCAGAGGTAATGGTCCAACTACTTTTGCTTGGTTCTAGAGAGTTCTATCTTGGCCAAAACCCATCTATTTAGTCAAGGCCTGGACAGACACTTCTGCCTGTAGCTCTGAAAACTAGAGTTCCACTTAAGGTTGCAAATTAAAGGCGCATGATTGGGCTTAAAACTTTGTATGGTGTCCTCAGAGGAGCTGCTGTGGTGGAGTCAGTAGTAAGTAGAGTAGCAGGCTTTCTGTATGTATAACACCATCTCGCCTAACTAGTCTCAAGTAATTCTACAGTAGTATTGTCTGCAACTAGTTAAGAGGCATATATTTTCCACAACCAGTTACCCGGTTATCTGTCTGAAGTTGTTTCCAAAGGCTGAGAACAGGCCCTTTCAGAACCTCAGTAGGAAAAGTATTAACAGTTGGAAACATGTTAGCTGCCTTATGGAGGAAGCACAGCCCAGGCCTGGTTTCTCTAGGCTCCGTGATAACTTGGGCTGCAGCAGCCAGGGCGAAGCTCGGTGGTGGGAACTGTAGAGATGGAGAGCGGCTCAGAGGAGGCCCCTGCTTTTCAGAGTTGAAACAGGAGCCCTCTGAGAGAAAGAGATATTGCATGTGGCTTCCCTGATGCCTCGGAGGGCGAAGTGGATGACACAGCATCAGCCGTTCCTTGGGGGGTGGGGACACTGTGGCCGCTAGAAGCCTCTGCCCTCATCGGCCCCTTGGGGGCCACAGCCATAGTTCGGCATCAGTTGTGGAGTGCGGTGAAGAAAAGGTGACAAAGGCCAAGTCAGCGTTCCATTGGTTGGAAGAACACGCTCCCGGATGGCAGCCCCAGAGCTAGAAGGACCGCACCCTGGGAGAGAAACGGCTTTTAGTCGGGGGCGGTGCAGCAACAGTTCCTAATCTCCTGCCTAATCATCTACTCGCTCCACCTGGATGCGGAGCGAGGCTCCCGTGGAGAGAGAACCGCGCGGGTGGGACTCACCCTCTCATTTACCTCCAAGACCCAGAAGGAGAGCGCCAGGTCAGGCACCTCGACCCCCCCACGCCACCCCGAGGCGCCCCTCTCTTGCCTCTTGGGCATTGCTGCCTTTCCCCCCTCCTCTGTTAAAATAGTGAGAAGTAAAAAAAAAAACACGGAGTGAAGTGATGGAAAAGTGGAGGCGGAGAGTCGCCTGCAGTGAGGGGCGGGAGGGGAGGGGGCGCGGTGGTCCCAGAAGGTGGCTGGCCAGCGAGCGCTGAGATGATCGGCATCAGGCTCAGCGTCGGCCGCCGCCGAGACCTTGTCCCTGGGGCTGCCCGACCCATCCCCTGGCCCGGGGCGCCTGCGGAGGGCGTGGGGCAAACCTGGGGCTGCGGTGGGGGTAGGGTAGACCTCACCTCCATCCCTCCCGGGATGGAAACCGCGCTCACCCCGCTGCAATCGGGGCGGAGGGGACAGGCGGGTACCGCGGTCCCTCCCACCCCCTCGCCGGAGCCGCCGCCGCGGCTGTTCAGTAACACGTCCCCAGGAGACTGGCAGGAGCAACACGTGATGTGTCTACTTATCAGGGTGAGAGGGGGAGAGCGAGGCTCCGAGCGTGCGGGCAGGGGAGCGGGGCGGGGGGCCGAGGCGGGGGCCGGGACGGCGGCTGGGGTGCCGGGGTCGCCAGCTCCTCGCCCACCTCCCTCCCTGTGGGAGAAGAGGAGGAGGGGAAGTGACTGCGGAGTTGATGAACTTTGCACATCCAGAAACGCCATTTTGATTCCTTTTCCGGAACAAGTTTGCATCTCTCCTCTCTCTCTCCCCCAAGCCCACCGGTCCCCACGGCATCATGCCTGGGAGCCCAGCGCCCTGCCCTGCCGTAAGTACGCGCCCGGGGCTCCGGCTCTCGGGACTCGGGTGGCAGCGAGATGTCTGGGGCTGAGCGGGAGCGACCTTCTGAAGAACTTTTGGGGATGGGGAGGGCGAAGTCTGCGGAGCGTGTGGTAGTTTTCAAACTCGCCGTTCCCCGGAGCCGAGGACCCGGGCGCCCCACGCAGCGCTACGTGCGCTCGGGGCGGCGGGGCCGGACCGGGATGAGCCGGGCAGCCCTCTCCCCTCGGGCTGCGCGCCGGGCCGCTCCTCCTCCTCCTCCCCCTCCTCCTCCCCTTCCTCCGCTCCTTTCCCCTTCCCGAGCCGCCGGCTCTGCCAACCAGCTCCCAGCGCGAGCCGCCGCGGCCGCCGCCAGGACCTGATGCGCATCCATATTAGCCGTCCGAGCGCTGGAATTCGCCTCGACCCGCGCCGCACCCACCACCCACTTTATTTTTAACCAGCACCGCGGGGCCTCGGATGGTGCACGCACCGCCGGCCAGAAACATCTTCCCAGCGCTGCTCTCCATCTTCCGCCCTCGCTCCCCCGACATCCTCCCCCCCATGTGGGAGGGGAAACTTTTCTCCTACATACTTTCGAGTCCCTCCCGGGCCGAGCTGCGCGGAGATGACGGCGCCCGCCCGCTGCCGCAAGGTATCCGGGGGTACCCGCTGAGGGTGCTGGCTCGGGGGTGCCCGCTCGGGGCCGCGCAGTGGGAGCATCTGCCGCGCCCTGCTTTGCGGACTTTGATCCTCCCTGGCAGACGGCGCCGGCCGGGAGGCGGCCGCGGGCAGCCCTGCGCCCTCGCCCGCTCCGGGCTTGTGGCTGGGGGTCACGGCGACCACCGCCCCGGGTGACCAGCGGAGGCGGGGGCCGGAGCTCTGTCCGCGTATTGTTCCCCGGCCCTTCCGTTGGCGGTGTACGTGTTTTCGTGGGAGCCCTCGGTGTGGAGCGGAGCCTGCCTGCATCGCGGTGGGGGGGGGGGGGGGGGGCTCGGCGCCCGGCGCCGTCACGAGCACAGGAAGGAGGCCGGGAGCATCCGAGGCGGGGCCGGCTGCCGGGGCCCGCTTCGCCGCCCAGCTGTGGAGCGCGCTCGGAAACTTTTGTCCGCTGCCCGCTGGACCAATTTTTTTTTTTTTTTGCGAGTTCTGGGGCTTCCCTTCCTCCTCTCATCCGGGCCCCGCAACGCCCAGCAGGGGTGGGGAGGGGCGGCGTCGAGAGGTTGGGGACCCAGTGCGCCCCCCCCCAGCCCAGCCTCGGGCTCAGCCCCCCGCGCCCCCTCCCCGTTCGCGGTCTCTTAGGAAACTGCGACCTTAATGGTTGCTAAGGAGCGGGGAGGTCCTTCCCGTCGCCGGCCCCCTCCCTCCCCGGGACGCGGCGTGTTTTCTGAACCCGGACGGGGGTCGCGTCGAAGATGTGGTGACTGGCTCCCCTGCCGCTCGCGGGGCCGGGCGAGGCGCGTGAGTGCGGGACGCGGCGGCCGAGCTACTTTACTTTAACGGCGCGGGGGGGGGGGGCGGGGTATAGAGGAGGGCGCAGCGGGGGCGAGGACCCCGGGTCTCGGGGACCCGCCGGCGGGCCGGCCGGTTGACAGGCGCCGCGTGCAGCTCGCGTCCAGCGTCCGCGGTGCATCCGTGATGGGTTATAAAAGAGGAGGAAAGTAATTCTCCTTGCTCAGCAGATTTGCCCTCCCTCGCTGCTTACTGGTTAGAAGATAGAACGTGAGCCCAGATCCGGACGAGCAGTTCACATTCCATTACGAAATTCTACACGGCTTCAGAGCCAGCAGCAGCACACATTCGGGGCACTTTGGAGTTTTTTCTTTTTTGGGGTGGTGGTGGTGATGGCGGTGGAGATGGGTAGAAGGGTGAATAAAAAGTACAACTTTTTGGTGTGCTGCAAAAACCTGCCCGAAGGTTTTCATCAGTAGCAGTATTACCCCTCATGCTTGTTTTAGAGTTTAGATTTAGGCTTAGCCTTTTGAAAACCAATGCATAGAAAGGTTGCTTGTTGGATAGGGATGCTGGAAATAGGGAGGTATTTCTGTCTTGAAGAGACTTGAGATGATTTCTGCGAAGGTTGAGTTGCTAATGTACATCCCATAATTTTGAGATATTTTTTTCTTTAAATATTCAGTGGTCTGTGCATGCATGTGAGTGTATTCTGAAATAAGTTTAATTGAAGTGGAAGGTGGAGAAACAGGAACTGCAGCGAAAGGAATGGTTTTTGTTTTGTGTTTGGGGGGCGGTGCCCCCAACCACCACCACCACATTCACAATCCTTAAAATGCATCCCCCAGATCTGATGCTTTTTCGAGTTCTAAGACATAATGTAACCCGGAAGTCTAAGAGGCTGAAGTCTTGGCTGAAACTTCTTCTTTTTTTTGCAAACGTTTAGTTCTATGCTTCCTTCAAGAGTCACAAAGAACTTTTGAAGGAATGGGTTCAAAGTTATTCTTCAAATTTATGCAAAGGTGAGCCACTAATTTTAAGGTTATTTTTATTTTTTTATTGCTGCTTTTGGAGGGAGCCTTCTGGGTACCGGCTGATGGATCCTGCTTTGATGTGTTTTGAGCTTTGGTTACACTGATGAATTAAACATTTGAATGGCTTTTATCAAGTTTTAAATGTGTGAAAAAATACTTTCTCTCCTACCCTCTTTTTACAAAAGAAAGGGAGATCCCTTTGATTTAGTTATTTGTTTAGCTTGCGCTCCATTTTAGATTGTTAATGAACTTGCACTGTTTTATCATTCTTAAAAATACTGCTAAGCTGATTGCACTTTAGGATATTTTGTTTTTAAGGAGGATTTCCTGACTGTGATACTCGTAAGTGCTGCTGATGCTTACTGTTCTATAGCATGTGATTCTGAGTTTTCTAGATACTAATTTTTCATTAGAAAATCAAGAATCTACGCCGTCATGTTTGTTATGTGATGGGGAAGATGGGTCTGACTCAGCTGGCAGAACTGGTGCATCCATTCCTAACTGTTTACATCATCCAACAAATGACCTTTTGACTCAAGGGTCTTCTATTTTAGATTTCTTCAGGCCGATTCCTGAGGTCTTATTTGCATCCAAGACAGGTACAAATATTGAAGAAGGGAAATAAACCTAACCTTGTTAGTCCTGCACCTGATGTACAGATGTTTATTAGTTACTTGCTGTGGGTCAGGTAGTAGCTGATTGCTATTATGTAGCTTTCATTTTTTATGTTCAATTTTGAATTGCTGTGTTGGTCCACTTCCTAGGTCAGTTTGGAAATCTTTGCTTGCTACCTTATGCTCAGTTGTCAACATCATTTACTACCTTCAGCAAAGGCTATTTCCTGATTAATAAAATTTTAAAAATTCTCTTTTAGGTTTATGGCATAATTAATATAAATTTAACTCCTACAGAAATTGGTTCAATGTGTTCACTAGAAAGAGTCAGATGTGAATCCCTTTTGATGTTTCTATTCATTATCCTTCTGAAAAGTAGGTGATGCTCAAAAGGTCATAGGATAAGGGTTGCTAAGCAGCTAAACAGAAGGATGCTAAAATTAACCAAAGCGTTTTTGAAAAGGAGTCCTTCCCTGGTTTACATTATTTACTAGCTTTAATTAATTTCTGGGTTCTCCATGTCCTTTGACCCAGGAAGGTAGGATGTTAAGTTTGTTTTGTTTTTGTTATCATATTTAAATAAGCACTCTTTCTTTTGTAAGTGTCTTTTAATGGAAGTTCACGCTCTCTGACCAATTCTGGTATCAAATGACAGTTCGTCTGGGGGGACTTCTTGTATATTACCTGTGTATTCAGGTTAAACCTTACATTCAGGAGGATATGTGTGAGTAACATCACTTGTATTTCATTTATTAGTAGCAGAAATTTTAATTTGTTTTGGAAAATCTACCTAATACATGAAGCAATGTCTTAGTTTACTCCTTATTAAACAGATTAGCATTTAAAAGATAGAAATGCAGTATAGTATCAGTAGGAAGTATGCAATATAGTCTCCCCTAATAACAGGACATCATTTTCTTACCCCTTGACTGAGATTATCATTCCTTTAGGTTTTGATAGGGCTCCTCCTCCTTTTTACTCCACTTCTTCTTCTCAGTTTACTCAACCCAGTTCTAAATACCTTTTAAAAATAATTATATTAGGTGTAGAATATCTTTGGAAGGACTGACCAAATGTTAGGGGGCGGGATGTGATATACATTACATTTCTGCCATAACTATGTTCAAGGATCTTAGCGTTTTCAGTGAGATAAAATGGTTGAAATCTAACTGAAGCTGTGGTTGGTTGAAAGGCAAGTCCTCTGTAAGTCAAAAGTTTCCCTGCCTCAAGGTTACTTGTGTACATATGACCTACTGAACAGGCAAAGTTGAGTAATATTTTTATATCCAAATATAATTAAGAAATTGGATGGGTTCCTTTGAGGAGGCAGGGTATATGATTTTTTTTTTTTTTCTGTCTGACTTAGGAAATGATTTTGAGTAGAAATAGCCCCGGCCCTCTTCAAAACATAGGGGTCAGATTGTGGTTTCCATGCCTTAGGTGGCCTCCCCATGAATCAGAGGTAAAAGCTGTACCGTATGAAACAGAGGGAGGCATACGATGTGCTTTCTGAAATGCATCACTTATTTTTAATTTCCCCAACTCTAATAGGAGGCAGAATACAGAGGAAACCCGGTTGAAATGTTTGCATTACTACTGGGATAGAAGAATGAGGAAGATGGGAGTGAGGGGATGGACTTTTCCCTGTTACGTTAGCTGTCCTGTGGACAGTGTCATCCACTGTGCTGGTCTCAGTTTCTCTTCTCACCTTCCCTGGATATTGACTGTTGGTATCGTCAGTTGGTGGAGATGGGGTGGGGTGGAGAGGAAGGGAGGCCCTGGAGGAGGACAAGGGGAGCTGTTTCTTCCAGCTACTGGTGCATCTTGTTTCTGATGGTACTTCAGGATACAGGTGAGCCAGTCAGCCATCAGTAGAGGTGGCTGCCAGTGAATAGGTGCTTCAGACAAAAGAAGTGGGAGAGGGTGGAGACTGTTTGTTCAGTGTGATTCAAGCAAGTAATGCTAAGAGAATTTGAAAGCCTCTGTAAAATCCCCAGGACGAGGCACTGACTGCTCCTGCAGGATTCACCTGAGGCCTTTCAGACTCCATGAGGGCGGGTGGTCCTGATAGGGTGGAGAAAGCCCAATGAAAACCCCCGCATTCTTTGTCAGCCAGCCAGACTGCAGAGAAAAAGTCTCAGTGGGGGTAATTAGATAAAGCTTTTAAATGGCTCTATTTGTTTTTCCCCTGGCTGCTTGGTATCTCATCTAGTTTCCCCCCTTTTTCAGAAACTGTGGGGTAGGATTGTTATACAAATGTTTGAGACTTTTAGTGGTTTAATTACTTTGAAAATTTCCTTTCTCAATAGGGTGTACCTTGGACAAAGTTAACGTCACCCTGCTTTTGTGAAGAAGGCGTTTAATAAGATTCCAATTTTATCCTCAGAGCAACACGGTGATGATTGGGTGGTTATATTAACCCATTTTAAAACTGTGTTGATTTCCACCCAGTGGCTGGTCATAAATCAAGCCTAGGTAGGACCCTAACCCCAGCCTAGCTCTGTACAACACCTGCTTTTAAAAGTCCGCGTGGCCTCAGAAGACTGAGCAGTAAATATACAGTACCTCTATTTGTGTGTGTGAATGTGTGTGTGTATGTGTTTAAAAAGGGACCATATCATTTAAAAAATAATTCTGTGGTTGAATCTGAAGATGTAAAGCAATTAAAAAAGAAACGTTTTAGCCTTTGGCAGCATTTCTGTTGATGAATACGATTATACACGTTTTTCCCAGCAGGTTTTCTATATTGTGGAGTTGTTGTAAGGATGAAATAAATGTCCCAGAAAGTAAAATTCTATTTATGGAAGAAAGTATTATATTTTGAGCTCAGGAAACTTTGTGGGTGCCCATCTGGATTTCCTTTCCAGAATGGTGCATAATGCCATTACTTTAGACTTTGCCTAGGATTTTATTTCCAAATCAGGGAAGGCAGCGCTTTCTTTTTTGCTTTGAGTGCGAGAGACAAATAGAACTAGCAAGTTATTCTTAGTGAATAAGAATAGTTCAATAAGGAAAAGACGAGTTGTAAGCTTTAGGCTCTCCCTTTAAAGCTGGTTCTCAACTGAGCGGTTTTGCCTCCAGGGGGCATTTGGCAATGTTTGGAGACATTTTTTATTCCTTTGCTGGGGAGGGTGCTACTGGCCTTTAGTGGGTGGAAGCCATAGGTGGCAAACCACGGTGGTGGCCCCACAACAGAGGATTACCCAATCCCAAATGTCAGTAGAGGATGAGAAAGTGTGCTTTAAAGTACTATAGTTGTGTCTTATGTGCAGGTAGCCTGGGTGTACTCACAGTGTTGCATGTGATATATTTGAACATCTGAAATTTTATAAAGCAAGTAAGCTCTTTTTATAGGCCTGTAAGGTAACATGGTTGGCAAGTTCAAGATTTCACAGAAACTTTGGAGTTGGGGAAAACATGAAGTGGCATCAAATGTATTTTAAAACCTCTTAGTAAATAAAAGTTCTAGAACTCATCTGCTTCTAAAACAAACCAGATTCATTGGCACCAGGAAGCTGTTCTGGTAGGTGGCTCAGCGTTCCAAGTCGCTTCTTCAGTCATTTAGGAAACTTGCTCTGGGGCTGTCATCTGCCAGGCCTCCCTCACGGTGTAACTTATGTGGAGTGTACCACCACCCCCCTTTTTAAAAGTGTACGAACTAGCCCTTACTCGATTGGCAGTTAATGCTTCTGCACTCCTAGTCACCCTTATTTTGTTGTTGTTTTTTTACATTTTCTGCAAAATTCTTACATAACTATTCACCCTTTTTACAAGGCAATGTTTTGGAGTCTGGTCCTCGGTTCCTACGTCTTCTCTTTGAGAGGGTGGATGGCAGACCTGCTGCCAGGGCTGGAAGGGCTAGGGAGAGAACATGGGGAAGAGACTGTGGTTATTTTTATGTTCTTGGGATGCCAGGACCTCAAATACACAACAAACGTGGTTGATTTAAAGGGGAGGGGGGAAGTAGTATACAAATATAAAACTGAATTCTTCAGACCAGAAATGTCTCAGTTAGGGACAGGAGTAATCTTTTAAGCACAGGTGCCACTTGTCCTGGATTCTCACTTACCTTCTAGAACAGTGATGGCGAACCTTTTGAGCTCGGCGTGTCAGCATTTTGAAAAACCCTAACTTAACTCTGGTGCCGTGTCACATATAGAAATTTTTTGATATTTGCAACCATAGTAAAACAAAGATTTATATTTTTGATATTTATTTGATATATTTAAATGCCATTTAACAAAGAAAAATCAACCAAAAAAATGAGTTGTGTGTCACCTCTGACATGCGTGTCATAGGTTCGCCATCACTGTTCTAGAAATATGTAACTCTTGAAGGTAGCTTTTTGCACATCCTAAATCAGTGGATAGACTG